AGCAACCACTAATCCCGCCCTCCGCGCGCGACGCGAGTTCTGGCGAACTCTCTGTGGGGGAGGCGCTTGGGGCCCCATCTCCCCCGCGCGATCCCTGGCTGATCGTCTGGGGGGTGGGGGGCTCGCGCGGCAGCGGCAGCAGCAGCAGAGCAGGAGTGGGAGGAGGAAAAGAGGCAGATGACGACGAAGAGGGGAGGGACGAGGAGGAGGAGGACAAGGAGGTGGAGGAAGGACAGGAGGAGGAGGAGGAGGAAGAAGAGGAAGAGGAAAAGGAGGAGGAGGAGGAGGAGGAGGAGGAGAAGGATAGGCGAGGCCAGCGCGGCAGACCCGCACGGCAGACCAGCGCGGCGCGCCAGCGAGGAATTCTTTGGCGTGCTCAATCAGACGTTTATCCGACAAGCCTTTTGGAAAAAACGGCGTTTCCCGTTCTTGTCCGGTCAGGTTCCTGAGAAGCGGGGGCGCGATTTGCCCGCCCACTGTGCTCGATTTGTCTTGGTTGCTCGTGGGAATTGCCCCCTCGGAGGGCCGCAGACTTTCTCTCCTCCTCCTCCTCCTCCTCCTCCTCCTCCTCCCCCTCCATTTTGGCTCAAGCACTGTTGGCATCAGCAGCGCCTGCCGCACTCCGCGCGCGGACGGTCCGTCGGTTTATTTCGCTTCATGTCTAAACGCGGAGCTGATGGCTCTCCTGCTATGTCTACTGATGGTATGTCCGATGATGAGGATAGGCGACGTGCAGACAGGTCACCCTCGCGAGAGATCACGAATGCCGACCTGCTCAAGTACATGAAGGGGATGGACAGGAATGTGAACACTAAACTCAAGAAGGTGCAACATGATTTGAGGGCTGTGTATTAGAAGGCGGACACAGCTGTTGAGGCGGCTCAGAGTGCTCAGAAGATGGCTGCGGACGCTCTTCGAGTCGCTCAGGAGGCTCAAGCAGGGTCAAGGCCTGCGAGTACGGCATCTACCGTTGCTGGGCCACCACGTCCTGGCCCGCCCATGGGTGATGATGCCCTGAAGATCGTGATTGGAGGCTTCCCTGAGGCTTCAGACAAAGATGAGATGTTACCTTACATGGAATTGGCTCTAGATAGATATGCGTGGAAGGCGTATGAGGAGGAGTACATCCTTTGGCGGCTGGGGGAATCTAAAGATCGTGCTAGTGTTTGAGGCTCACCTACAGCTTCACCGAGCAGAACCGAGGTTGCATTTGAGAGGCGTTTTGTTCCTCACCTACAGCTTCGCTAACCAGAACCGAGGTTGCATTTGAGAGGCGTTCTGTTCCTCACCTACAGCTTCACAAAGCAGAACCGAGGTTGCATTTGAGAGGCGTTTTGTTCCTCACCTACAGCTTCACAGTGCAGAACCGAGGTTGCATTTGAGAAGCGTTTTGTTCCTCACCTACAGCTTCACAGCGCTGAACCGAGGTCGCATTTGATAGGCGTTTTGTTCCTCACCTACAGCTTCACAGTGCAGAACCGAGGTTGCATTTGAGAGGCGTTTTGTTCCTCACCTACAGCTTCACAGTGCAGAACCGAGGTTGCATTTGAGAGGCGTTTTGTTCCTCACCTACAGCTTCACAGCGCTGAACCGAGGTCGCATTTGATAGGCGTTTTGTTCCTCATCTACAGCCGCACAGAGCAGAACCGTGGTTGCATTTGAGAGGCGTTTTGTTCTTCACCTTCAGCTTCACATAGCAGAACCGAGGTTGCATTTGAAAGGCGTTTTGTTCCTCACCTACAGCCGCCACAGAGCAGAACCGAGGAGGAGTACATTTATGGAGATTGGGCGAATCCAAGAATCGTGCTAGCGTATGTGATATTTTCTTGAACGAGGTTTACTTTGTCGTCGTCCTTGCCTGAGTTCCTGCCCTCTCGCTCCGCTGCTGCGTTTAGAGTAGTATGTCATGCTGGATGGCCCCCATCTCTTATAGCATGCCATCACCACCACCCCCCCCTCCTCCTCCTCCTCCTCCTCCCCCTCCTCCCCCGGCATCCAGAGGATGGTCCGCCCTGGGGTTGCGGTCCGGTGGGTCCGGTGGGTCCGGTGGGTCCGGTGGGTCCGGTGGGTCCGGTGGGTCCGGTGGGTCCGGTGGATCCGGTGTGTCCGGTGTGTCCGGTGTGTCCGGTGGGTCCGGTGGGTCCGGTGTGTCTGGCGGGTCCGGCGGGTCCGGTGGGTCCGGTGGGTCCGGTGGGTCCGGTGGGTCCGGTGGGTCCGGTGTGTCCGGTGCGTCCTGTGGGTCCGGTGGGTCCGGTGGGTCCGGTGGGTCCGGTGGGTCCGGTGGGTCCGGCGGGTCCGGTGGGTCCGGTGGGTCCGGTGCTTTCTGTGGGTCCGGTGATTGGGTCTGGTGGGTCCTGTGGGTCCGGTGGGTTCGGTGTGTCCTGTGCGTGTGGTGGGCTTTGTAGGTTCGGTGCGTCCGGTGCGTCGAGAACCCTCCTCATCTTCATCATCGTCGTCATCCTCACCATCCTCATCGCCATCATCAGCATCGTCAGTATCATCCAAATCACCATCCTCATATTCATCCTCCTAATCCTAATCCTCTTCATCCTCATCGTCCTCCGCATCGTCATCCTCGTCATCCTCATCCTCATTGTACTCTTCATCCTCATTGTCCTCCACATCGTCCTCATCGAGTCCTCATCCTCATCCTCATTTCTATCACCAGCATCCTCCTCCCCTCACTGTCCTCCTCCTCATCCTTCCTGGAGGCCTCCCGCATGGGGCCGCCCGAGGATGAGGAAGAGCAGCATAAGGAAGAGCCCGAGGAGGAATAGGCGGAGGGCAAATAAGACAATATGCAGCAGCAGCAACAGCAGCATGGCACACAGAGAAGTGGTATACATATGGTGTGAACATGCGAGCGCCATGAGTGAACGCGAACGCGTGCACGAACAAAACTGCCCATGGCAACGCCTCGCTGAGCGGGCGGGCCCTGACAGGCGGGTCGGGTCGGGCGGGCGGGAAATTAAAATACAATGCATCGTCGAGCTAACGCGCGCGGCTCCAGGCGGGACGGGTCGGGTCGGGCGGACCCTGGCGGGCTGGGTCGGGACGGGTCGGGCGGGCCCTAGCGGGCGGGTCGAGTCGGGCGGGCGGGCGGACCCAACGGGCGGGTCGGGACTGGCGGGCGGGACATTGACGTATTATGCATCATCTAGTTGGCACGCGCGTGCCCTCGCGGGCGTGTCGGGTCAAGTCGAGCGGACCCCAACATGCGGGTCGGGTCGGGCGGGCGCACCCTAACGGGCGAGTCTGGTCGGGCGGGCGGGACATTAAAGTATGATGCATCGGGTTGGCACGCGCGTGCCCTACCCTACGCGGTGATGCATCGGGTTGGCACGCGCGTTAGGGTCGGGTCGGGTCGCCCGGACCCTAACGGGCGGGTCGGGTCGGGCGGGGCGGGGCGGGCCCTAATGGGCGGGTCGGGTCGGGCGGGCGGGACATTAAAGTATGATGCATCATCGAATTGGCACGCGCGTACCCTAACGGGCGGGTCGGGTCGGGTCGGGTCGGCTGGACCCTAACGGGCGGGTCGGGTCGGGTCGGCTGGACCCTAACGGGCGGCGGCGACGACGCCAACAACGACGACGCCGACGACGCCGACGATGACTACGACGCGGCCGACGCCGACGACGACGACGCCGATGCCGAGGGCGCGGACGGGGACGATGACGCCGACGCCGACGCCGACGCCGACGACGACGACTGCGGCGCCGACGACAACGACGACGCCGACGACGACGCCGACGACACCAACGACGACGGCACCGACGACGACGACGACGACGAAGGCGCCGACGCCGACGACGACTCCGCCGACGACAGCAACGGCGGCGGCGACGCCGACGACGCCGACGACGCCGACGACGTTGACGCCGACGACGCCGACGACGCCGACGACTACGACGCGGACGACGCCGACGGCGGCGGCGACGACGACGGCTGAACCGAACGGGCGGACCCTCACCGAAGAGGTCCTCCCGAGGCCGCACAACAGGGTCTGCCGAAGCATATCTGCCGACGCGGACCTGCAATTCGCGCGCTCGGAGTAGCCCCTGGAGGACCCCGGACGAAAAGTACCCGGCTGATCCCCGGCGGAATCCCGGTCAACTCCCCGAGAACGCTCCAGGAGAGGACCAGCACGGCTCGGAGACGTCCCAGTCGCCGAAAGATCGCCCCATGTCGGTCACGATGGCCTCCAGACGGCCTCAGACGCCGAAGAAGCCCCGAGAGAGACACAAGAGGCCAAAGACGTCCCATGCCATTGGGAAAACATATATGCTTAACATATTCACCCTTGGGTGTTTCACAGCGTCCAAGATTGCCCACAAAACCTCCAAGATCGGCCCAAAAAGGTCCAACGGGGCCTCCATTTGGCCCAAGACGGCCCATTAGGACAGCGCGAAATTCGGCACGCACAACATTAGCCAATTCGCAAAGAAACACCCAGACAATCCCAGGTGTCGCACATCTCCGCCCAAGAGGCCTCCGGGCCCAAAAGTGCATCTTCCACCCCCTCCCCCGGACGCGTGGTTCTAGATGAATACCAAAGCTCTTACAACACAGCTTGCGCCCCATAGCGAACACCACGTTGCCCCACATAGATTGCACTATATAGCTTACACCACCCAGAGTGCACCACATAGATTGCAAGACAACCACTGTTAGGGGCCCGCGCTGACTGGCATGCTTTTCGATGCACTGCGTGCAGCGCTACTACATTGCTTGCAAGGGTCGCCCTGCTGGAGAACCGCGGCATGCGGGCGGCATGCTCTCATGGCCCTGGCCAGGCCTGACGTTGCAGTATCTGGGGCAAAATGCCACTATGCCTACAAAGCACCGCCATTGCGGGACGCCTGGGCAGGAAGGGGGAGAGGAGCGCGCAAGTCCGACGCGCGTCAGCTTCAGCGTGCAGAGCTGTTGCCCGCCACCGGCTGCGGGCAGCGTCGCAGCCCTGGGCGGGGGCCAACGACGTGCACGACGGCCCAAAGTCGATCCTACGTGTTCAACGACCAGAGCTTGAACTGGTGCCTGTGTCGCTGGAGCTTTCGGAAGTATCAGAGCTGGGCTCTGCGTCTCGGCCTCGTGAGTGCACCGCGTTCCGCATATCGATGCATTCGGCCAAAAAGTAATTCGCCACATGCCGGCCCATTGTTCGCACCATGTGTTTATCCGCCACCACGCCTCTGGCGCGCAGTCGCTAAGCCTGGTTTTTGTCATGGCCAAGCAAGCATCCTACTTGGAAAACAGGAAAGGATACCCCCCCCCCCCCTCCCGTTTCCGAGCGCTCTCGGGCGCGCGGCATTCGCAATCGGAGCAAGATGGCGGGGCAGCCGAAGGCTACTAGATACCTCGCCGCCCAAGAGAAGGTAATCTCGCAGATGCTGGTGTTTGCGCCGTCAACGAGCTCCTTGACGCCTGGTGCGTCGGGGCAGCAGTGCTGCTTACACCATGGGTCGACATGACCTCTGGCGTGAAATCTGTCCACCACGTATACGACGCACGGGTGTGCCAACAAGGCGGCTAAGGCAGACTGGTCCTTTCTATTGGTGCTGTATTGGCGGAGATGACAGGCGTCGTCGTGGATGACGACGTTCAAGGCGGGGAATCGCTTCTTCAAGCGGGCCAGAAAGCAATACCGCTGCGCCAAGCTTTCAACGCCGAAGAACTCCTCCACGTCGATAATGTGCCCGCTGGGCGAGCACGCGACAAGGAACCCCCCAGTTCGCCGCACTGCAAGAGAAGCGGACTCCAGCTTGCCCCGTTTCCCTCCCTTGGCAAAACTCTTGTGGGTTTTGCACGAAATCTGTTCCAGCTCCCTGAGTGATGCGTCGACCGCCGGAAGTGCCGCCGCGGGGTCTACGGGCTGCGCAGGCTGCGCAGCCGTCGCATGCGCGGCTCGGCCGGCGTCGCCATCGCCGCGGCTCGCCGAAGGGCGCGCCCCATCGCCGCAGCTCGCAGAAGTGCGCAGGCCAGCGGGCAACCTGCGTTTTTTCTGCGGCCTCGCAGGCAAACTCTGGACGGGCGCGGCAAGAGCAAATCCTGTGGCGCCTCATCTGCTGGCGGGCCAGGTCTTGCCACTGGTGGTCCAAGTGGTGCTTTGCGTTTTCTCAAGCGGAACCGGGGCAACTTCGCCTTGAGTTTGTCCGGCGCCCCCTCGCTGGCACGGGACTCGGCCGCGTCTTTCGCGGCATCTGCGGCGCGCCTGACCAAAGTGGACTGGACGGCGTCCCAGCAGCCTTCAATATCGTCAACCACTCGAACTGCTCCGACGCCTTGCCGCTGCGACGTCACACAGAGCACGTCGTCCAGCGTGCCCCCCAAGCATTCGCGGCGCCGGACAAGAAAAACGTCTGCGTCTTTGGCGCCCTCAAACGGCACGGGCTTCTCCAGCAAACTGGCGTGGCAAGTGCACCAGCGCTCGCGCTGGCCCCTCGTGGGGGCAGGGCAGGGGTGCAAGCACACCTTGCCGAGATTTGGATCGCGGGTGTAGCCTCCATACATCAACCCGCAACACTTCCGGGTGAGCTTCTGATGCCCGTCTATGACGACCTTAGAAACCTCCCCGTCGATCTCGGCGCGCCGGTGCCGCAAGTTCCGCAAGTGGGTCTGCAACTGCGGCCAATTAGCTTGGATGACGTGCTCGACAGGCGCCGACAACCGGAGCTGCAAATACGACCTGGAGCCCTTCATTTCTGCCAGACGCGTCAACAGCCGCATCAGGAACCACGCCTTCATCAGCTTCATGTGCAATCTCTTTTTGGAGATGCCCGATTGAGGCCGCCAATGAACTTCAGCCTCCCCCTAAAATGAAGTGTGCTGATGAGCGAGGCGTCGTGAAAATTGTCTGAACCAATTCTGCGTAATGCCAAACGTTGGGGAAATCATGAAAGGGCCCGGCCAATCATCACAAATCCACACATATCTGTGGACGCCCTTCTTCAAAGAAATAAAGTTGGCCCACTGGTACTTCCCTCGCGAAATGCACCCCGCCGCCTGGCACCTGACTGGGACATGCGTGAACTCGTGGAGCCCATCGGTGTCAAGAACAAGCGCGGTGTCGGCTTTATTGCGGCACACTTGCCCATGCGAACATGCTTGGCAGCGTCGCCCTGGGGGCGCGACCTCTCCGACGCTGCTGCGTGCCACCACCGCAGCCGCGAGTCTCTGTATATCTGCGGGAGCGAGCAGCCCCGCCACGTCGGCTGACTCCAACGCTTGTTCTACAACGGCCGGGTCCATCAGTTGCGCGGCCACGCGCGGGGCAGGCCGCGCAACTTGAGCCCAAAACTACGGAGCGTCGGAAATGAGTCGGCGGCTCAGGGGCTACCTAGAGGCGGTCTGAACTCGAATGCCCCCCCAGGAGACTTTGCCCAAAGGGTTCGAACTTGTTCTCACAGAACTGACAAGGGCCCAGACTGCGCTGGCCAGCCCTCCCCGGCTTGCTGCCCGCGTTGCACGGGCTTGTCTGGGTTGACTCCTCTTGCTGCCCTACTTGTCTCTCGCCCCCTCGGTTTCCCATCCGCGCGTCTCTCGCCCCCATGGTTCCCCAAATGTCTCTTGCCACTCTGGCTCCCCAATTGTCTACTGCCCTTTCGGTTCCACAATTTCGCTTAGCGTATCCCTGCTCTGTGCAGCGCATATCATTGCATTTCGTCGCGTTGCTGCGTTGATCTGGCGTGGAAGAACGAATGACCAAATCGGGGTCGCGCCGCTTTCACTTGCGTGGTGCTCGGGGAACGCAACGGGAGGGGGGCGTAGATGGATATGGTTTCCTGTCCTGAAACGAATCCTCGGCCACCGTCTAGCTCGCCCGGCCCGCGATGCCAAGGGGCTCCGGCATGCCCGTGCCGTGCTCATATGGCTCCGCAAAGGCCATCCTCGGCCGTCTGCAAAGCAAAATGGCGCCGGGCCAAATGGGCGCCGCCCAGCGCGAGGGCTGCGCAAGGGGGCGACGCCGGTGGAGAAGGGGGCAGGGCGCGAGAAGCAAAATGTCTGAAAGCATCGCGAAGGGAAGACTGCAGCCCAGCATGGACCCGCCGCGCCGAAGTAGCCCTGGGCGACGGGGGGTCGCGAACGCAGGTCCGGCCGACGGGGAAACGCCGCCAGCAAACTGAGCGGGGCACGCCTGCGTCGCGAGAGCGGCAAGCGCGGGCCGCGCGCCCGCGCCCGCGCGACGAAGACCCTGGGCAACGTGAGTCACCGCCCAATGCCTTGCGCTCGCCCCGCAGGCCTCGCGTCGCGGCCTGTGAACCTGCAGCCTGCGCCTGCGCATGTCAAGCAAGCGATTGTAGCGCATCTAAGAGAGTATGCATTGAAAAACTGTTGAAGCACATGCGAACGTGCCGTTAGAAATTCACTGGCAGCGTCTTAAGCGACTCCATCGCGAGACCTGTTGCATGGCGGGACCCGCGATAAAGCGCAATGCCTCATCTTCTCCAGGCGATTGCCCGAAGCGGCGCACTGTGGCCGGAGACACCCCGGGGGAGATGCCGCGCAACCTGATTTGTTCAAAATCGCGCCCCAATGTGCCTGGGAGAGGTGCCGCGCGGCGTAGGGCGATCAAAATCGTCGCCCGACGGCCCATCGGGCGATCTGGAGTCGCGCTGCTGGCCGAATACGGCCGCGCCAGCCACCCGTTGGTTCGAGCGCAGCGCGTCTGCTTGACTAGCGTTCGAAACGCGGGGTGCCAAGAAGCGAGCGGATAGCTACCCGCTTGCCGCGGGGGCCTGGGCCCGCTGCAAGAGGGCCCTCACCTCGCGGCCTGTAAGCCTGCACATGTCCACCAGGAGATTGTGCCACTTGACCATGGCCTCGCGCCCGGCCGCCGCCGACGGCGGCGCGTGCCACTGAACCCTGGATCTCGGCGTGCCCACCTCGAGCAAGTCGCCGACAGGGTACTGCGCCAAGGCAGCGGCCATCATGGTCACCATCATCACCACCATCACAATCATCTTGATCATCAGCACTGTCATTGAAGTGGTCATATTCGTGATCATCATCATGTTCACCATCATCCTCATCACGGTCATCATCGTCATCATGATCAGCGACTTCATCCTCATCATGATGATCATCATCATGATCATCAACATCATCAGCATCATCATCAGTGTAGATACTCTAAGATACGAGTTAGGCCAATATCTCGTATCATTCAATGTGGCCAGGCCCCAGGATACGAATCTGGCCAAGTTCGTATCATCAGCGGTGGCTTGTTCGTAGTGCCTTCAATGTCTGCCGGCACAGGCGCATAGGCGCATCATCATCATGATCATCCTCACCATCATCATCGTTACTGGCCTCATCATCACCATCATCCTGATGATCATCATCAGCATCAACAGTTGCAAACTATCACCATGACATCATCATTGTTATTGCCATCGTCATGGCCATCACCATCGTTCTCATTATCAACATTGGCATCATCGTCATCACCACCGTCATCAGCATCATGATCAGCATCATCATCAGCAGCATCATCAACATCACCATCATCATGAACACCATCATCGTCATCATGTTTATCATCATGATCATGATCATCATGATCATGATCACCATCATCATTATGATAATGATCATCATCATCACCATCATCAGCATCATGATCATGATCATGATCATCAGCACCATCATCATCATCGTCATCAGCATCACGATTATCGATCGCTCTCATCCTATCTCCCTCTCCATTCTGCCCCCTCCTTCCTCCGCTCCCCGCCCTATCTCCCTCTCCGCTCTCCTTCTCCTCTCTTCTCCACTCCCCGCATCCTCTCTTTCCACTCCTTCACGCGCATGATGGCTCAGGAGGCCACTAAGACGGCAACCGAACAGCTCAAGAGGCCGCCAATGCAGCCGAAGAGGGCACATAGGGCTTGTAGATCCTATAGGGCTCATAGGTCTCATAGGCCTCATGGGGCTCAGGCCTTATAGCGCTCACAGGGATCACAGGACTCGTAGAGCTCAAAGGATCACAGAACTCGTAGTGCTCATGCGACTCCTAGGGCTCATTGGGCTCAGAAGACTCATGGGGCTCGTAGGGCTCACCGGTCTCATAGGGCTCGTAGGGCTCGTAAGGCCCTCAGGGCTTCATAGCGCTCGTGTGGCCCATGGGGTTCGCAGTGCTCATTGAAATAATTATTTAATTATTTAAACGTTGGATTGCGTGCTCATTTAAATAACCATTTTGATTAGCATTCAATGTTTCATACACCTACCTCTCCACCGTCATCGTTCCGCGCCTCCCCCACACAGTGCCAATGCTTAAATGAGCAAGGGAACCACGCAAATAATTAAATAAATAATTAAATAGTTATTTAATTACTTACATGTTCGCTTGCGTGCTCATTAAATAACAATTTTGCTTAGCATTCAACCTGCATCGTTCCGCGCCTCCTCCGCGCAGTGTCAATGCTTAAAAGAGCAAGGGAACCACGCAAATAATTGAATAAATAATTAAATAATTATTTAATTATTTACATGTTCGCTTGCGTGTTCATTGCAATAATCATTTAGATTCTCATCCAAGCCGCATCGTTCCGCGCCTCCTCCACGCAGTGCCAATGCTTAAATGAGCAAGGGAACCACGCAAATAATTAAATAAATAATTAAAGAATTATTTAATTATCTACATGTTCGCTTGCGTGCTCATTGGAAGTAACCATTTTGAGTAGCATTCAATCCGCCATCGTTCCGCGCCTCCTCCACACAGTGCCAATAGTTAAATGAGCAAAGGAACCACGCAAATAATTAAATAGTTAATTCATTATTCAATTCACTTATTTACATGTTCGCTTACGTGCTCGTCGAAATAATCATTTGGATTAGCATTCAATCAGTCATCGCCCCGCGCCCCCGCCACACAGCGCCATGGGTTGAATGAGCAAGGGAACCACGCAAATAATTGAATAAATAATTAAATAATTATTTAATGTGTTACATGTTCGCTTGCGTGCTCATCGAAATAATCATTTTGATTAGCGTTCAATCCGCCATCGTTCCGCGCCCCCGCCACACAGTGCCATTGATTGAATGAGCAAGGGAACCGCGCAAATAATTAAATAAATAATTAAATAATTATTCAATTACTTACATGTTCGCTTGCGTGCTCATCGAAATAATCATTTTGATCAGCATTCAATCCGCCATCTTTCCGCGCCTCCCCCACGCAGCGTCAATGATCAAATGAGCAACGGAACCGCGCAAATGATTGAATAAATAATTAAATAATTATTTAATTATTTACATGTTGGCTTGCATGCTCATGGTAATAATCATTTAGATGATCATCCAATCCGCATCGTTCCGCGCCTCCTCTACACAGTGCCAATGGTTAACTGAGCAAGGGAGCCACGCAAATAATTAAATAAATAATTAGACAACTATTAAATTACTTACATGTTCGCTTGCGTTAAGCATTTACAACGTAATATGAAGTGAATACGCTTAGCCATTCTCTGTAAAACCCCGAGCACCCGCCTGGAAATACAATGCAAGACCATAGTTTCCTGCTGTCAGAACAATAGAGAATGAAAGCGCCAAACGATTGTCTATGAGAATACGGAGCCCGACCCGAAAATTCAAAAAAAGGCCATAGTTTCCTGCTTACAGAACAGTAGGTGAAGATTATGCCAATCGATTCTTTCAGAATCGGATCCCGGCCTGAAAATTCAAAAAAACGGCCATAGCTTCCTGCTTACAAAACAGAACCCCGTCTGGAAATTCAACAAAAAACCCGAGTT